CCCCAAAACCCCAAAACCCCAAAACCCCAAAACCCCAAAACCCCAGAATATAGAAAATTAATTGAAAAGTTGAACTATGACTCTTAAGGACTCATTTTTCATAACATATTTATGATAAAGCTAGTACTGATTTCTATGATAATGAGAGATAGGGGAACTATACTCTCCTTGATGTGCTCCAGTCTCCCCACCTTGATATAATCTCTGCCTTCTAGTTCTCAATTGCTCAAATGCTCTTCTATCAAGATTCTCTTCATTTTGATTGTACACAATGACTTTCTCGAATGTTTTTACCGGGGAATTTGAATTTAGCTGATTTTGGGTGATAGTTCTCTTACTATGAAATCCAATCTTCTTTCTTGGATTCCCAACTATTTGAGCTATACACATCATGAATGAGATTTCACAATAAAATAGAGAATTAATGCAGATAATATACTGAATGTGAATCTGAAATTACTCTTTTTCCTGTTGCTTTTCCACATCCCTCTCTGCTTATCAGGTCTGAAATTTTGTCTTGGCTGCACATTTTTGGTATACTGGGTATTAAGCGTATCATAGTTTTCTCTGTTAAGAGTAGAAGATGACTGAGCTTGGATGAATGGAGGGCAGATGTTAGTAGAGTTTCTAGTAAGCCTCTTCCCTACAGTCGCCCTATGGCCCCTCTCATTCTGTGTCTGAAGTCTTTGAATGTAATTAATTTGGGTCTTTGGGATATTCTTAGCTCTTGAAGTCAACATTTGACGGGAATATGGATTTCTACAATACTTTTGGTCGATCTCTTTGATATTTGTGTGTGAAAGAGTATCTGCCAAAGGATTTTCAGCACTAGTCCGATACATATCAACCCTATTTCTAAGATGAGGCTTTACTCCTGAAGAAGTTGGGGGAATAGATATAGTATTAATACAAACATCAGCTTCAATGCTTGAAATTGTGGCTCTTTCATGCTTTGAAGATCCAAGACGTTTATCGAAAGTAGAAGAGTTCATAGCTCTGTCAAAAGTGGATGAACTCATGCTCCTCTCTGAATTAAGTGCATTCCCTTCATCATTCCAGGTATTGAGTCTTCGAGTTTCTGAACGAATTTGGTTTATACTCTGGTCTTGACAGGTCATCAGTCTGGTCATCTTCTTACTTTCTTGGTAAGAAGGGTTAAATGATGATTGCCTTGGAGCATCTTTTACCTTTCCCTGAGAAAGCCAATTCCAATTATTAGTCTCAAAATACTTGTTTATAGTGTTAATGTACTTAATTTTCCTTTGTTTGAGGTCTTTCTGGTAGTTCTCCTTAGCTTCATTAGATCCCTCCAAAGCACGCTGGACATCTAAAATTAGGTTTTTCTGTAACAGGATATGCTTAAGCTTCAAAATTTTCCTCATCTTCATCCCTTGGACCATTTTTCTTCATAAAGTAAAGCTCTCAGAGAGGAGTTTGGATCACTTTTTCTGGATTTTTTCCTTATAAACTTTGGATTTCTGGCACTGTCTCCATTTTCTTTGAATTTTAACTGCTAATGAGCCAAGGTAACTCTTCACCTTACAATTATATTGGTAATCGTCAGCAGCAGACTTCAAGTTTTTGAGAAAGATCCTCTTCTGGTAATAAGAAGCTTTATTCACAAGGTTCTTGAATTCGTCTAGAACTTGTTATTCAAATCATTTAGGTGTTGACAATTTTTGGGATGTAAGCTTGACCAAAAGTTACTTACTTAATATTTTGTAGAACCTTCCTACTTCTCTAAGCCTGTTGAGATATCTTCTAAAAGCTCGTTGGATTCTAACAACAGCTTCAATCCTTTTATTTGTCCTTGCTTCGATCTGTCTAGCTTGATGACGGTATTCAGCTAGATCTTGAATTGAGTATTTTGATGAAATACTAGAAGATCTCTTGTTTTCTTGTAGATCCTGTAAACTATATCCAGCTGGAACCATCACTGATGCTCTTTCTTTATTGGCATATTTTTCTTGAGAAAGATCACTTTTTCTTGAATAATGGTAGGGCTGATACATTGTTGAAGGATAAGCTGAAACTTTTATAAATTCTGAATAGAAACCTCTTCTGAATACTGATAAGGGACAAAATGATTATCAAGCGATGTTTGTCTTTGCTTCTTCGTATGTGATTTCCTTGCCATCGGTCTAAATCCACTCAGATTTTCTCCAAATATCTCGCTTGGGCTCTGTTCTGCTCAATAGCCTATGAAAATTCCTTATTTCTAAAGGCACCTCTAAACTCTCAAAATGCGCTTTTTCTAGCCCAAATTATTATCCCTCAAAAAGACATCTCTCATTCTTAAATCCTCAACCCAACCCCCTACTAACCCTCCCGCTTTTTTTGTGTGAAATATCTCACAACTCCTCCCTTCAAAACAACTTTTGAAAGCGAAATTTTCAAAAAACTCAAAAGCCCCAAGCTAGCATTTAATCAGCTCCTATCTTCAGAAGTCCCTTCCAGGCTATATGGAAGTACATAGTCGTAGTCCTGAAGAGATAGTATAAACCTAAGGCTCTAGGAGCCTTAAACCCTCCCCATTCCTCAACGAGAGATGTTACACCACTACTGTTCCAGGGACTTACCCTCAGGAATTCAGGAAGGCAAAGCATTTGTGCTAAAACTTCTCTGAAAGTTTGACACCACAGGTCTGACTGGGTTCTGACTATCCTCTGTTCTTTGAGGCACCATCTTTACAGAGCCCATAGTTGTGTCCGTTTGGTATTGCACAGGGCTATATAGGCACTATAAGTATTCAAGAACCTTACTGGCGATAGCCCAATTGTCTAATTTGATCGTAAGAATTCATATTTTATTTAACTTTTATTTTACCTTTATCTTCAACGAGATTTTAAGAAATCGGGGTTTTGGGGTTTTGGGGTTTTGGGGTTTTGGGG